GGAAGCGGTGAGACTGTGGGTGGTAGAAGAGCCAGTCAGCAAGTCCAGGGGGAAACCAAGGAAGACACAGGGGACAGTGCGGGCAGTGAGCTTGTCCGTGCCAGAGGCACGAACATGAGCAAGACAGCCCCAGACGTGGAACGCAGACGCGTCACCGGGGGACCCGGTGCAAAGGAGGGTCGGCGAAACCTGCGGCCGCTGGGAGCGTGGCCATAAGTTAAGCTGGTGAGCGGCGTAGCGAACGGCGAACGGCCACAGAAAATGGGGTGCACCGGCATGGATCATGGAGGTACGAGCCACCTCCATGACCAAGCCGATGCGGCGCTCAGCAACCCCATTTTGCTGTGGCGAGTCCGGCAAGGTGTACGACTGGGTGATGCCCTCCGCACGACAGAACTGTCCAAGTTGACCAGAAGCGAACTCGCCGCCACGGTCAGAGTGGAGACACAACAGGGGGAGACCGCGGTGAAGACGCGCAGCCACAACCCACGGGAGAAGAACGTCGGGCACGTCGGCCTTCCGCTCCAGGGGAAACACCGTCGTGTAGCGCGTGTAGTCGTTGACGAGCACAAGAAAGTAGCGCTCGCCACGCGGTCCGGGGACGGGGGCTGGGCCCCAAACGTCCAGGTACAGGGTCTGAAGGGGAGCAGTTGCAGGGCGAAGCGAGGAGGAGTGAGGGGCACGGCGGAGCCGGCCCTCGACGCAGGGCGTGCACGCTGGAGCAGGCGAGAGGGGAAGGGCGGGGAGCGACGCGGGGAGGCCTAAGACAAGACCGTGCTGGGACATGTGACGCAGACGCGGGAGTGCAGGGTGACCTAGGCGGTGGTGCCACAAAAGGGACGGGTGAGTGAGAGACCGACACGAGCACGCTGCAGCGACCTGGGAGGACGCACCAACCGGGGGGGGAGCGGTGTCGAGGGTAAACAGACCGGACACCGGGTCCCGGGGGAACGTCGCAAGGGGAGAACCTGAGACAGCCCCGGTACAGTCAGCGAACCGCTCGTGCGCAGGGAACGTAGTGGTGACGCCGAGGTCCTGAAGTCAGTCGACACCAACCAGGTTCCTGGAGAACGAGGGAACGTGAAGGCCTGTAAGGGAGCCCGAGGGGACGGCTGGACAGGGAAGGGAAGTAGAGCTGCGAGCGACGACAGGACCCGCAGAGGGGTCAGTGAGAGCGACAACAGCAGGCGCGGCAAGCGGCGTGAGCGTGGAGCGGTCACGGAAGAAACAGGCAGAAGCACCGGAGTCGAGAGTGAAGGACAGTGAAGCAGTAGCAGAGGCCGGGGACGATGCCGGTGCAGGAACGAGGCTAGGCAACCTAGGCAGTCCTACGCCGGACGCAGCAGGGGAAGCTAAGCTACACAAGGGTGCTACACCTAAATTAGAGTACACAGGGTAATAAGATCCAGCAACACTAGAAGCGTCAGCATACAAGGCATGCAAAGCGGCACCTATCTGATCCATATCTAACTCAAAGATTGGTACGCCCTGGCAAAGCAGGCTGTGCCAGTCGGGGAGGTCCGGGGCTGGGCCAAAGCGACGACGAAAGAGATCGTCGAGGCGGCGGAAACAGCGGGCAGTCGGGTGCGGGCGGCGGCACAGAGTGCCGCGGAGAGGCCCAATCTGAAGCTGGTACTGGCAGGTCACAGCACCGGAGCTGCCGGTAGACGCCAAGCTGCGCGGGCCACCACCACGGCCACCACCTCCGGAGGTGCCGGGCCAACCAGGCGGGAGACGAGCCCACGGCTGCGGCGGCTGCTGCTGGGGCGGCGGCGGCTGCTGCGGGGGCTGCTCCTGCTGCGACTGCTCTTGCCCACCGGTGGTAGTCCCCTTAGGGGGACTACCGTCGCCACCACCACTACCACCACCACCACGACCTCCCTGATGGCCACGGCCAACGCGGCGCGGGCGCTGCTGCGGGTGGACCACAGCAGCTGTCTCGATAAGAGGGGTCGCAGTGGCGACCGCAGCCAAAACGTCAGTAAACGTGCACTTGGAGGGGGCACAGCCGTGAAAGATAGAGACTGCCGGCGCACCGCTCGACTGAGCGATAGTGCGCTGGCGAATCTCGATCTCGGTGAGGGTGTCGACAAAGGCGGTCAGGGTAAGGTCACCCGGGTGCTGGCTAAGGAAGCGGTCGCGGGCACTAGCTAGGCGGTCCGGCAGGCGCATGACGATAAAATAGAGGGTCATGCAGAATGGGGGGGGGAGAGCAGTGAGTAGGGCAGCAGTGCTGGCAGTGCGATAGCGAGAATCTAGGGCACGCAAGTGAGTGGCAAAGTCTGCAACAGTAGGGAAGGCAGCAAGGTCTGGGAACAGCATCGGGAAGAGCAAGCGGCCGGCAGAAGCGGATGCAGGCGTGGAATAGCGAGCAACAACATCATCTAAATAAGCTTTGGCCGTATCAACCGTAGCGAAACGCGAGCGCTCAGACACAGGGAGGGCGTGACTGATAGCAACCTGAGCTACTGCATCGCGTGAGTCCCAGACCGCACAGGCAAGCGCAACAGTAGAGAAGGCCTCACTCTCAGCGGAGGTGGGGTCAGCAGGGAGCAGGTGCAGGGGGGCGGGGGAGCAAGCCATCAGCATGGACAACCAGTGAGTTTCCATCATGGCGCTGACCTCTAAGCTGACGGCGGAGATCGGAGAGCCAGGCGGCGAAGTCAACCGCATGGCCCTCAGCCATGATGGACGGACGGACGGCCAAGGGGCCGACTAGGGGCGGACGGACGGCCAAGGGGCCGACTAGGGGCGAACGCGACGGCCAGGGGGGCCAGCTAGGGGCGGACGCGACAACCAGGGGGCCAGCTAGGGGCGGACGCGACGGCCAAGGGGCCGGCTAGGGCCGGATGCGACGGCCAGGGGGGGCAGCTAGGGGCGGACGCGACGGCCAGGGGCCCAACTAGGGGCGGACGCGACGGCCAGGGGGCCAGCTGAGGGCGGACGCGACGGCCAGGGGGCCAGCTAGGGGCGGACGCGACGGCCAGGGGGCCAGCTAGGGGCGGACGCGACGGCCAGGGGGCCGACTAGGGGCGGACGCGACGGCCAGGGGGCCAGCTGAGGGCGGACGCGTTGGCCAGGGGGCCGACTTTGGGCGGACGCGACGGCCAAGGGGCCAGCTAGGGGCGGACGCGACGGCCAGGGGGCCGGCTCGGGGCGGACGCGACGGCCAGGGGGCCGACTAGGGGCGGACCGACGGCCAAGGGGCCGACTAGGGGCGAACGCGACGGCCAGCGTGGCCAGCTAGGGGCGGACGCGATGGCTAGGGGGCCAGCTAGGGGCGTACGCGACGGCCAGGGGGCCGGCTAGGGGCGGACGCGACGGCCAGGGGGCCGGCTAGGGGTGGGCGAGAGACTAGGGCGCGGACGGAAGCGGGTGGGTGAACCTAACCTACTCAATACCATGTTAGTATACGTGAATGAATTACTAGAGGGGAAACAGGGAACATACAGCAGTTGGGTTGTACTCACTAAGAGCACACACCGACACTAGCTTATAACTTCTACATGCATGATATGTATAAGTTGACAGATACTGGGGAGGCTTTCCCCGTGGAAGGTGAATGTATGGAGCATAACCCTCTTGATGACATCCCTTCTTGTCCCAGTTGTTTTGGGGTGGTGATTTTATGACTGATCTTACTAGGTTCTATATATAACAAACATATCTACTCTAACTAGATATGTATGTAATGCGGTGTATATTTATTGACAATACAAATATAACCAACTTTACTAGATATATACATATATATATATATATGTTTATTGACGCTGACATACAACCTTTGATGCCCTTTTAGCTCGAGGTTTGAGACCGTGATCCGGAAAAATAGGGTAAGCAACAAGATAATAATGACATGGATTTTATGGAAAGTACTCTGTTATGCTGCATTTTCCTTTGGTAAATATAGGCTCAATAATCGACTTGTGTTGTAAACGGCTACAAACCATTCAAAGATGTTGTGGCTCTCCGCTTAAACGAGGGTCTTTGATTTGTATCACTGCTGGATGACTCGCCAATGGCCTGACAATCGTTGCCGTTCAGTCAACTAGGTAGTAGTAGCACACACTCGATATGATTTCTGGCGTGCTACAAAGTTTAGCATGGGAATATTTGCTGCATCATATATATTGGAATAATTAACACCCAGCATATCAAGCAAGGTATGACGTGGTTATAATAATGAGCTTGGTTCATTTACTCATACTACCAAACGTATTAATTAGCACTAACAGGCATTAGTGAGTAATTTGCTAAATTGCTATTCTTAGACATGATGTAAAGGTTTTCTTATCGTTTGAGGAACATCGGCCTGCGTAATAATTTGGTATGGCTTTGCGTTGTGGCTGCGGTCTGGCTTTATTGAAGGACGCAAGCCGCTATTGGTTTGCCTGAAAGACACGGCTCGAGCCGAACTTGCGAGTTTGGCCAGGAATCGACTCTCATTGGTTTAGATTCTTGGTCACGCTTCGCGACGGTGACGAAGCTCCTAGGTTCGTGACGAAGCGCAGTATGTCGAAACTCCATCGTCGCGTCACTATAGGAGCTCCGAACAGCAAGCCCTGGGCAAAGCAAGGATGGCAATGGTGACTCAAGCGCAAGCGTTCTACTCACTACATCGGAAGGCCTTGTTCAATCACATCCTTCACAGAATCACAGTCGGGCCAAACACGTGACCAACTCGTGTTGAGCAGCCTTGTATCGAGAGTACGGCTGCCCAGGGTCCATCCGCCACCACCCTTGAAAACCCCTAACCACCCGTTCAATGACGTGGCCCCATTGCCCCTTCACCTGCCTGTTGGCCCTTGCGTTGCTGCACACACCGCCTACACGCCAGGACATGCGCACCGCCCTTCATTCTATCCCACACACCATGTTGGAATTTCGCCCCCTATAGCCCTGCCCCCCTATCCAACCTCGTCATAAACCCATCCCATGCCCCGCTCTTGAAATCCCAAATTCACCGTACCGCCCATGCATCAGTTCCTATCTAGTCCCCAGCAGCTGAACCGCATTCGCTCTTCTCAAGTCGCGAGTCAACAGTAGCTCTCGCTGCACCGTGAGATCCGCCCAGGGCACAGCTCTCTCACGCTTCGCCGTTATCGCTAAAAGTGCGTGCCGCTGCGCGTGGAAGCAAGGGTCCTTGAAGCAAGGGTTAGCTAGCCAGCAAGCAACAACCCCTGAATTCGACCTGCACACCCCGGCAGCTAGTGATCAAGTGATCAACGCCCGCAGTGACTACTCCATTCCGTCACTGCGTTGTCGGAATTCGCTAGACGCACACACTTCGCTCTCCTACTAGTGGTGTGACCACCCAAGGACATGCGCTCTTCCTCGTCGCCACCTTCTTAGTAGACTGGGTTGTGGGGCAGCGGAGAACCGGAATCTCGCGAGGCCTCACGAGTAGCAGGAGCTCTTAGGCGGCCAACGCCTCTGGTGCTTCATAGGCCGTGCGAGCCGTTGGATCAGCAAGCAAACGCATCGTGTGACGGGGGGAGGGCGGCGGGAGGAGGGGACATGGGAGGTCATGGGGAGGACGGCGATGAGTACGAGACTCATGCGCCAGGGAATCCAAGCCAGCAGCCGCCGCAACAACAGCAACTGGCGGCGCAACAGCAGCAGCAGGCGCAGGACGCGAAGGAAAGGGGAGGGAAAAACTCGTCATGCCACTGGACGCCGGAGGTGCGACAGTAGCCCAAACACTGCAATCCCCACAAGCCCAACGCGCTTAAAGAGCGCTTTCTTACACCACGAACGAACCGGGTAGCGAAGCCCGCACGTCGGGTTGATTAATTCCCTCTGGTAGCTCAGTCCTTCCCTGCGCCACCGCTCCCGTGCTCCACTACGCGCAATCGCCGAGCTGCTTTGCTGGTGCTGGAATCTTCCACACCTGATGCTCAACAACCTGTGTCTCACCCTCCTACCTCTCCCACCCCGTCGCGTGCTCTCGCCGTGCTTGCAGGAGGACAAGATCTTGCTGAATCACGTGATGCGGTACGGCAGCCGCTACTGGGGACTGCTGCAGGCCACGGGGCAGCTGCCGCAGCGGGACCAGAAGTCGTGCTGCAATCGCTTCCTGCTCCTCAAAAAGTACGCCGCATCTCGCCCGCTGCCGCCTTCTTGCTCCCAATCTTATCGTCGCCTGCCTGTCCTTGCTTCCCGCTTGTCTCGTGTCTTCACCGTGGCGCCTCTCCCTCGCATTCTCTTTCCCCCCTCAATCACCCCCCATTCTCACCAATTCTTCCCCATTCCCCTCTTGGCTCACCGCGTGTCTCTCTCGGCCGTGCTCAGGCGGTGTCTGGGAACAACATCAGCGGTGGTCGTCCATGCCTCGCACGCCGCAGCGGTCTCGCAGTCCGCGCCATCGCAGCCAGCAGCAGCAGCTGCTTCACCACAAGCACAAGCACAAGCACAAGCGCCAACAGCACCTTCGTCCCCCGCGTCGCAAGCAGCACCGGCAGCATCACCACCACCCGCCTCATCCCCCTCTCTCACCGCACCACCAGCCGCAGGCACGCCAGCAACCGTGCGATCTGCTGCTCTTCCCATCGCTACGCGCGTCCAACCGTCAGCGCCTGCCTCGTCCCCCGCGGCTGCACCTCGCGTGGGTGCGTCTGCCCCCTTCCCCGCTCACTTGGCTTCACCCGCTGCTGGAGCCCCTTCCGTACCAGCTGGCTCGCCGTCTCTTTCGCCATCCCCGTCAACTATGCCGCTTCCTCACGCGCAGCCGTTAGGACGCTCCCCGTTCGCCCAACCCGTGACTTCCCCGACAGCGCCGATAGACGAGCAGCATGCTTCCCTCGGCGGCGCCCCGTTGAGGCGAGACATTTCCACGTCAGGCGCGCCCCCCGCAAGCCCCGCTGCATCAGGCGGGGCAGGTGCGGGGATGGCGCAGGTGCGGGTAAAGACCGAGCAGGAGCATTCAGAGGTGGCGGAAGGCGTGACGGGAGATGCGGCGGCGTCGATAGACGGCGCGAGCGGTGGGCTCGCACGGAGCAGCGTGGCGTGCGGCGCGGGAGTGAAGGAGGAGCGCAGCGACGCTGGCGCCGAGAGCGCCGGCCCTGTTGCCGCGTGCAGCGCGGAGGGAGGAGCATGCGTGGGAGGAGGTGGTGCCGCGGCTGCTGCTGGAGCCACTGCAGGCGCCGTGCCTGCATGCGCGGGTGGTGCCTCCACTGGTGCTGCGAGCGGCAGCGCTGGTGGCGGGCGAGTGGCGGCGCTTATTCTCCCCAATGTGACGCCGGACCTGTAAGAGCCGTGCTTGGTCGCCTCGCATGTCATCTCTCGCCTCGCTTGCTGCCTATCTATTCCTTCGCCCACCACGCCTTGTCGCCCCATTGCCTTATCTCGCCCTTCCCTCTTTCCCTCTCCTCTCCCTCCTCTCCCTCCTCTCCCTCCTGCTCTCCCTCCGCGCTACCGCAGCATGTCAGCGGCGGCATCAGGCGCAGCAGTGCCGCTGCCGTCAGTGGTGGCCACGCCGTCCGAGCGCAAGCGCAACAACAAGGTCGTCGCGTGCCGCATCGCCCTGCTGCTACAGCAGGCCCCGCCGCGCACCCCCCCCTCCGCGTCCGCCGCGGGGGCGTCTGACTCGTCCGCCGTTACTCTTGCGGCGAATAGTGCGCTCCCCCTTGCCGACTCTGCGCCAACGCCCATCCGCGCATCAACAGCAGCAGCAGGGGGGCCGTCCGCCGACCCCTCAGCTGCTTGCGCATCCTCTGGCGCCGCTGGCTCGGCGGCTCCCGTAGCCCCTTCTGCGCCGTCCGCCACAGCCCCTAACCCCGCGCAACCCGGCGGGTCTGGCGGACCAGCTTCCGCACCAAGGCCGCTTGGTTCCGCCGCGCCCGCGTTCGGCCCCGCCTTTGGTGCGGTCGCGGAGGCGGGACAGGGTATGAAGGCGGAGGGCGCTGATATGGGCACGGGATCTTCCGCCCGTTACTATCACCCTGCTGCACCTGGTCAATGCGGTCAGCAGCAGCAACAGAGTCCAGCTTTCCACCACTATCAACCAAGTCAGCAGCCCCCCCGCAGTCTTCCCAATATCGTCGTTAATGAGGGGTGCACGAGCGACACGGGCAGGGCGGGGAGAGCGCTGGCGGAGGCGTGCCTGGGAGCTGCGGGAATGGGCGGAGCTACACCAGCGGAAGACACAGAAGCGCGGGGGACTGCAGTGACGGACGCCCGCACACCAGCGCCAGGACTGCCCCTTTCCCCTGCCCTTCCCGCTGCTCCCCCCGTCCACCTGGCGCGCTGTCACTCCGAGCCCTGTGTCTCCGCCGCTCCCCACGCGGCCCCGCTGGCCATTTCCGCCGCGCCGTTCCTTCCACAGCAGTGTCACCGCCCTTCCCCCGCTGCCAGCCTTCCCGCTTCCATCTCCCCTCACCCCTCTGGCGCACGACTGGCCGCCAGGCACTCCGCGCATGTGTCCCCGCCCGCGGGGACTTACGCGGCGGCCCACGGGCCAGCGAGCGCGGAGAACAGTACCCCACCAAGCGCGCAGCCTATTTCCCCGTGTAACCACCCCCCCGCCACTCCCACGTTTCTCCCCTCTTCCTGCCCTTCCGCCAACCGCGCTCTTTCCCCGCTCCTTCTTTCCGCCGCCGCCGTTCCGCTCGACGACCCCGCGCCGGTCTTCTCCTGCGCTATGCATCCGCCCGCCTTCACGGGCGCGCATCCGCTGCCTCCGCCGCTTCCGCACTGCGCGGAGCAGGTCCCCGCGGGGCAACCCCTGGGGCGGAGGCCTCGCAGGCTAGCTTTCGGCGGCAGTCCCTCCACGATTCCCGCCGGCTGTTTCGCTGACCCTCCTGCTGCTGGCGCTCCTGGCATCGATGCTTACGTCATCGCCGGTGTTGCAGCGGCTGGCGGAGGGGCGGCGATAGCGCGGAGGAAGCGGCAGGCATGCAGTAGCAGTGGCGGAAGCAGCAGCGTGGGGCGTGGGGAAGGCAGAAACGACGGGGGCAGCAACAGCTGCAGCAGCAGGCGAGAAGGCGCGGGGAGAGACACGGGGACGGCGGACTGCGCGGGCGATGTGGGCGGAGCGATGGGGGAAGCGGAGGAGGAGCAGGGGAGAGCGGATGGGGGGGAGGCGCTGGGGGACGTTGGGCGGAGCGGAAGCAGCAGCGATCAGTGCGGGGGGGTTGGGGAGGAGGGGGAGTGGGAGCGGGGCGAGAGAGGCGACGTGAAGCGACATGCGGGGGAGACGCGGTCACGGCCTGGCAGCCCTGCGCACGCTCCCCGTGCCGCCCTGCCCGCTGGCCCCACGCCCCCCGGTGATTCCGCCCTTACTGCAAGTGCGCCCGCAGGCGCTCACATGGGTGTGGTGGGGCCCATGGCGCACCGTGCTCCCGCGTCCCCCGCTCTTGCTGCATCCGTTACTTGCAGCCCCGGTAGCAGCGGGTCGGCTTTCTCCCCTGGCGTGCACAGGACACGGTACGGGCGCGGGCATGAGGTGGGCAGGCGTGTGTCAGCCGCTCAGATGAGCCGCATGGCAGATGCGGGCGCGCACGAGCAGCAGCAGCAGCAGCAGCAGCAGTATCCATGCACACATGCCACACAGCACGGACCCCATTGCCGTGCTGCTCCTCTCCTGTCTCCAGTGCACCCTCCGCTATCACCAGCAGCAGCAGCAGCAGCAGCAGCAGCAACAGGACCCATGTCCCCCAACCCCGTCCTGGGCGCGTCTATAAGCGCGCCCGTGACGCCTACAGCAGCGACGTGCCACGTGGGCGGGCAGCAGCCCCACGCGGCCCTCCACAAGAGCACGTCCGCGCACTCCTTCCTGGCTGGCATGCGCTGCCTGCTGCCCCTCGGCCCCACCACCTCCCACCGCTGGCTTGGTCCCGTGACTGCTGCCCCAGCAGCAGCAGCAGGAGGAGCAGAGGCGGTGGGCGCAGCAACAGCAGCAGGGGAGGACATGGGTGCCTTCTCTCTGCCCTCGCCTCACCATCCCCTTGCCTCTGGTTGCTTGCGCCCGCGTGCCGCTCCGCCTCCCCCTCTCTTCCTCTCCGCCTCCTCCTCCGCCTCCTCCATGCAAGCCCTTGTGGACGAAGCCTTCCCTTCCGGCCTGCGCCCTGCTCTGCTCCTTGCTGCTGCTGCCGCCCCCACTGCTGCCCCCAGTGCTGCTGCTGCTGCTGATGGTGAGGCGTGCGTTGCAGCAGCTGCTGTAGCTGACGGCGGCTGTGCCAGTGCAGGTGGTGCTGATGGTGCGGGCGGGGGTGCAAATGCGTGGTTGGGTGTGGAGGCGGCATCGTGTGAGGTGATGAGTGTGGACGATGAGGAGGCAGAGCAGGAGCGCATGGCCGCTCGTGCACTGCTGCGAGTGCTGGAGCTGTGGCCCCATGCCATGCAGACCGATGAGGACGAGGAGGATGGGGAGGAGGGAGAGAGAACAAGTGCCACTGCAACTACCACCAACACCCCACCAGCAACGGCCACTGCCGCTGCACCGGGTGCTGGCGTGTCTTCTCCCCTTTCCCGCCCGATCCCGCCTGCTTTTTCGAATCTCCTGCCTGCTGCTGGTGCCTCAAGTGCGCCTGTCCCCGCCACTGCCCCTGCGACCAGCCTGCCACAACCACATGGCGAGATGAAGCAAGGCGAGGCAGCCGGTGCCCTCAAGTGTGCCAGTCCTGCTGCACGCGGCGTTGCTGCAGGGGAAGCATGTGAGGTCTCTGTTGCACGCGTGCAAGGGAAGGGAAGAGCAGCTGTGGCTGGCGTGGGTGGTGAGGGCAGCAATAGCGCTGTGGGGAAAGCACGTGGTAGTGCAGAGAGGGAGGAGCAGGAGGGCGGTGTGGGGGATGCAAGCTCGGTGAAGGGTGAAGACTCAGTGGGTGTGGATGGTGGGGTTGACAGGGATGAGTTACCAGGGCAGAGAGAGGAGGATAGGGAAGAGGGGGAGACCGTTGGAACTGACTGTGAACTGGGCAGGGGTAAGGGAGGTGGCAGTGGCGTGGAGCAGAAAGAACAGCTCCAGAAGCAAGAGAACCTGCAGCAGCAGCAGCAGCAGCAGCAGGGCCAGCAGCAGCGCAACCAGACTGGGCAAAAGCGGCCCAGCACTGCCTCTCCGGACATGCCTACCACAAAGCGGCTGGCGATGTTTGGACGCACTTGTGAAGGGCACCCTGCTGCTGTCGCCTCCTCTATTGCTGCTCCGTGTGCCCCTGCTGCAGTCACTGGTGGTGCCGTGCAGGCAGCTGGTGATGGCGGTGGTGCTAGGGCTGCCTGCGGGTGGGTGATGGGTGAGGATGACAGTGAGGAGGACACACGAGGAGCGAGGAAGGAAGCCGGTGCTGTGGGTTGCCCTCGCCCTTCCCCCTCTCCATCTGCAGGCCACGCCCTGCCTATCGCTGTCCCCATCCACCACCACCACCACGCTCACACCCCTCCTGCTCCTGCTGCTCCTACTGCTAGTGCCACCGCTGCCACCACCACTGCCACTGCTGGCACTGGTGGTGCTGCTGCCACTGGTGCGTGCAGTAAGCCTATATCCCCTGGTGAGGTGGCAGCAGAGGCGGCAAGGGAGAGGAAAGAGAGGGGCCGGTGTGGGAGCAGCAGCAGCAGCAGCAGCAGTGGAGCAGAGACGGAGAGCGGGGTGAGTGAGAGCCTGATGGAGTACCTGCAGACGGTGGACGACCTCCCAGGGGCGGCCGTGCTGCAGCTGGACAAACACAGCGACTCAGAGAGTGACGCCGACAGACAGCCCGAGCACCAGGGGCGTGGGGACGGGGACGGCCGAGGGGCGGTGCAGGGGTGGCAGGGATTGGGGAGCGGTGGTGGTGGTAGGCAAAGTGCGGAATCAGTTGCAGCACCTGCTGCAGTGGTGACTGGTGGTGCTGCTGGAGGGGTGCATGTGAGTGGCGGTGGCAAGCAGCCGGCAGCAGGTGTGGATGTGGCGGGCAGGAGGGACATGGGGCTGTGCAGCGCTGCTGCTGCTCCCAGGGGCGCTGCTGCTGCTGCAGGTGGAGGGGTGGTGGGTGCAGTGGTGGAGAGGAGCAGGGTGCGTGCAGGCATGGGGGGATGCTGTTTGGACATGGATGCACCTGTTACAGCGGTGGGTGTGGCTGGAGGGTGCACGCGCAGTGTTAGTGCGTGCACCTCAAACGTTGGGTTCTGAGGGACACTTAGGAATGAACCAGCAGGGTGGGAATAATGGTTTACAGAGTTTGATAGTTGGGTGGTTTGGGGCATGTGGATTAAAGCCCATGGATTGAGCCTGTTGTGTTGTGGCTACTTGTGTTTGCTTATCTTTGTCCTTCACATTCTTGGCACAAGGAAAGGAAAGCCTTCTTGCTGCCTTTTCCTTAAGGAAAGACTGTTCCCAAACAAATTCTGCGTTGGCCATTTCAAAGCAGAGCTTCTGAATTGCTTGTGCGAGTGACCTAGTGGTATCCACCTGGTGCTGAACCTGCACAGCCAACAAGAGAATTCCACTTGCACCTCTTTCTCCTTCCTCTATATTAGCTGCCAGTAACTGCACACCTACACATCCTGCTAGCAGAACAACGCGAGCCAGCCAGGCTGGCTGGCTCTCCACATCCGTCTCTCCACATGTGCCTCTTCCCCACACGTGCCTGCTATCGCCCACACAAATCCTCTCCAATCACCACCCACCCACCCTCCCCTTATCATCAGCAAAGCACGCCGAAACAGGGCAGGCAGCCCCCACCCTCCCCCTCCCATCCTCCCCCCCCCCCCCGGGGGCTACCCGTCGGGGGTGGGGGTGTCGTCGTCGGTGCGGCGAGCGAAGAAGTCGTCGACGTGCAGGTTGGCGTCGCCGTGTGGCACCACGTCCTCTGCCTCTGGCATGAACAGCCCCACAGCGCTCGCCTGCACAGGGGGGGACACAACGTTGGGGAGGTGGCGTGGTGTTGGCAGGGTGGAAACGGGGGGTGGGAGTGCGGGTGGGGGCTTGAGCGATTGGGATGAGTGCACATGGGCACGTGTATATGAGTGGTTGCGTGCGCACATGGCATGTGATGTGTGCCTTCATGCCACAGGACCAAGGGACAGGGGACAGGATAAGGAGAGGTCGGGAGGAGGCCAGGGAGAGGCCGGGACGAGGGGGGGAAGAGGAGGGGGAGGGGAGAGAAGGGGGTGTGAGAGGGGGCAGAGGAAATGCGCAGGCAAGGGCTAGAGGGGGCTTACCTTGCAGTCGAGCAGGGGGTCGGGTGAGTCCTCGGCCAGCAGCGTGCACCCGTGCGCCCTGAGCCACTCACAGCACTCCTGCACCACCGCACCGCCATCCTCCCCTCGGGGGCCCCCGCTGCCATCCCCCTCTTGAGGCTGTGCGGCGTCCTTGTCGTCACGGTCGTCCTTGTCGTCCCCGAACGCCAGCACTTGCGCGATGTACTGCACTGGCAGCGACGGCCGGCACGCCTTGGCCATGCTCTGCACAGCCTCAAACCGCTGCTTCTCCACCTGCATGTCTGGGGGGGGGTAGGAAGAGCGGGCGGAGAGGGGGAGGTGAGAGAGGAGACGGAGAAGTGAGAGACTGAGAAGAGAAACAGCAGCGCAGCAGGCTACAGTTGCGAGGCAGAAGAAGAGGGGCGGTGCAGTCAGGCAGTGACCGGACAGGGTCACAGGAATTGGGGAGTACAGGTGGGAAGGAAGGGAGAGAAACTGGGGGATGGGGACAGGAGAAGATGGACTGAGCAGCTGGAAAATAAGGTGAGAATCACAAGGTGCTGCTCGTGATCATTCGCGCACGTACAAATGTGCGTCTGTCAGCAACTGCACGCACGTCCTGTCTCCTTCGTGAGCACACGTTTGCCCGTATGTGCGTGCATGTGGGTGCATGTTCCCGCATGCATGTGTGCATGTGCGCGTGCGTATGGGTCTGGGTGTGTGTGTGTGTGTGTGTGTGTGTGTGTGTGTGTGTGTGTGTGTGTGTGTGTGCGGGCGCATGCGTGTGCAACCACGCATGGATGCATGTGCGTGTGCAACCACGCATGGATGCATGTGTGGGAGGAAGAGCGTCTAGAGGGGAGAGCTAGAAGAGTGGGGGAAGAGAGGGATCGACCAAGAGAGACGAAGTCGAAAGGGTGGCAGGGAGGAAAGGCGGAGAAACGTGGCGGGCCAGGGGAGGGGGGAGGGAGGAGAGTGTGCGGCGCACCCATGAGCAGCTGGATGAGGTTGGGCGCGCAGCGGTACAGCGAGAAGAACTTCACATAGTCCCGCCGGCTGAACGCCTCGCGCACTCTCAGCGCATGCGCCATCGCTGCATCCTGCCGCTCCTCCTGGGTCAGCCTGGCGGCACAAGGGGGACGGCAGGGGGGACGGCAGGGGGGACGGCAGGGGGGGACGGGCAGGGGGGACGGCAGGGGGGACGGCAGGGGGGGACGGGCAGGGGGGACGGGAGGGAGAGGGAGGGAGGAGGAGAGATGGAGTGAGAGGGGAAATGAGTTGGTAATGCTGGTATGCTCTGGCACTGCAGCTTGGCATGGATGGCAAACACATGCGCACATGCAGAACATGCAATCACACCCACATCCATGCATGCATGCCCTTGCGTGCACCAAGACACACGCACTTCGTGTAAACACATGCATCCTTGACTCACCACTCCCCCCCATTCTTCACACACGCGCACCTTACTCAAGCACACGCTTCTGCACACACGCACACAAGCTCGCACATGTGAGCAAACAAAAACACACGTCCCCTCATCCAGACACAACGCCCCCACAACACTCTATAGCATGTGCCCTCGTGTTTCCCCCCCAACTCACCTGGCCATGGCCTGCTGCAGGTCGTATCGCGGCCCCTGCGAGAAGGCGTTGTGCAGCAGCTCGTATGCGCGAAACTCGCCCCTGTGCCCGCGCCACCCCTCCCCGTACAGCCCCTTCAGCTGCGCCTGGCACTGCCACGGGAGAGCAGGGGGCCACGGAGGCATGCAGGCCAAGGGTGGGATGGGGAATGGGGAGCAGGAGCACAGGAAGCGGAGACAGATGGAGGGAGGGAGGTGAGTGAAGGCGGGGTGGCAGGGAGTAGGAGGTGGTGGCTGGTTTCACCGGCCGGAGGAGGGATGGGAGAGGGGGCTGAACCGCACGGAGAAAGGGAACCCGGCGACAAGAGAGGGGCGTGTTGCGCAGGTGGATGCAGGTGGATGCAGGTGGATGCAGGTGGATGCAGGTGGATGCAGGTGGATGCAGGTGCCAGCAGTGGCACACGGTGTGGTGGCCACCAGCCTGTCATGCCACGCACACAGGCAACAGCAACACGGACAGTTCTGCCACTACCAGCAGCAGCAGCAGCAGCAGCACCACCACCACTAGCAGCAGCAGCAGCAGCAGCAGCAGGAATACCAGTAGCATGAGCAGCAGCAGCAGCAGCAGTTAAAGTGGGTGTGTTGGTGGGTACCTGGTTGAACTCGGGCATGTCCGCGGCCTCCAGCGCCATGCGCGCATGCACCTCGTACACCTGAGGGGCCGGCGCCAGGGAAGGGAGAGATCAACACATAGTTGGGGAACAAGGGAGGAAAGGGGAAGCAAAACCTGCAGTCACCTGATTATAGTAGCACAAACTACCCTTCTCTTCCCCTCTAATAGCCCAATACCTCTCCCCCCTCCTCTTCGACTCCCTCCCCTTATCTGCCCCTCCCTCCCCAGCCCAACAAACCATTCCCCCAAGGCTGCCCTGCGGACCCCTCCAAAAGGCCCTCCCCCAAGTGCTGACACCCACCTGCACGGTGAACTCGTTGCGGATGCGCTGCACTGTGAGGTCCTGCCGAATGCTCTTCAGCTGGTCGCACCGCCACAGATACCCGCGCTTCCCGCCCTGTCCCCCCCCCACGCACCCATCGTCCTCGTCCGCCCCGCCCTGTGAGTGCGCTGCCAGCACCATGGCCAGCGCCTCCTGCAACACGTCCAAGGGTCGCACCTGGGGGGGGGAGTGGGTGGAGGGTGAACGGCGAGGGTGGGAAGGCAGAGGGCACAGAGCTAGCATGGGGCACAGAGCTAGCATGGGGCGCAGAGCTAGCATGGGGCGCAGAGCTAGCATGGGGCGCAGAGCTAGCATGGGGCGCAGAGCTAGCATGGGGCACAGAGCTAGCATGGGGCGCAGAGCTAGCATGGGGCGCAGAGCTAGCATGGGGCGCAGAGCTAGCATGGGGCGCAGAGCTAGCATGGGGCACAGAGCTAGCATGGGGCGCAGAGCTAGCATGGGGCGCAGAGCTAGCATGGGGCACAGAGCTAGCAGGGGGCACAGATATAGCATGGGGCACAGAGATAGCATGAGGCACAGAGATAGCATGAGGCACAGAGATAGCATGAGGCACAGAGATAGCATGAGGCACAGAGATAGCATGAGGCACAGAGATAGCATGAGGCACAGAGATAGCATGGGGCACAGAGATAGCATGGGGCACAGAGATAGCATGAGGCACAGAGATAGCATGAGGCACAAGAAGACACCACATGACCCAGAAGAGCACAGCACAGCACAGCAGCATGGCGAGCATACACTGGAGGGGTCGGGTGCGGCGGTGAGGCGCAGGTAGCTCTTCTCAACCTTCCTGCACGTGCCCTTGATGGTGAGCATGTCCCAGTCCATGTCCTCCACCGCCCCGCCCCCCATGCCCCCCAACCCACCACCCGCAGCACCAGCCGCAGCAGCAGCGGCGCGGCCCTGCCGCACAGCACGTGCCAGAGCCATGGAGTGCGCCTTGGCTCTCCGAATGGACGTCCTCACCCCCCCTGTTCCCCCCGCCGCTCCTCCTGCCCCACCCCCACCCTTCCCTCCCTTCCCGCCCTTGCCTCCCCTCCCACCCCCCCCCCCCCCCTCCCCTGCCCCGCCCTCGCCCTCCTGCCCCAGCGTGCCTTCGAATCTGGCGGCTCTTTGCTGCCGCCGCGCCTTCTCCCCTGCACTCTCATTCACGCCCACGCCAAACGCCCCCCCGCTCCCCGCAAAGTACCCCTCCTTGAGCTCCTCCGCTATCCTGTCCGCCTCCCCCAGGCCCACTGCCCCCACACTTGCACCTGCTCCTCCCGCTGCTGCGCCCCTCCCTGCTGATGCTGCAACGGCTGCTGCTGCTGCCACTGCTGCCGCCACTGCTGCTGCCACCCCCCCTGCTGTGGTTGTGTCGGCCGCTGCTGTGTCAGGCGCCCACCTGCTTGCCCTGCCCTTCCCTCCCCGCCCCCCTTGCTGCTGCTGATTTGAAGCGCGGAACCAGGGGGACTGGAGGGATGAGAGAGCGGTGGAGAGTGGGTGAGGCTGAGAATGGCAGGAAGGGTGGTCGAGTGAAATGACCGCAATGGAAAAGAGTGACAGAAAGGGGGGGAAGAGCGGAATGCAGGTTGAAAACTGGATAAGCTACACGACGATTCAGTCAATCCCTAGGTCCCTCACGACTAGCAGGCAAAACGGAGTGCAAGGTGGGAGGAAAGCCATGAGGGTGTCCCATGGGTGCCGTACATTGTGGGAGGGCATCGCAGCACCGGGCGAGCTGGCGTGCTCCTCGGGCAGAAGGGGGTCGCCCCACCGCGACCGCTTGGCCTTGCGCGACGGCGTGGGGGACGACACAGACGATGGCGTGCTGGATGATGGCCTGGGGGATGGGGATGGGGAGAGTGGCACAGGGAGAGAGGGGGGGGATGAGGGGGAGAGGTGGAGGATGCAAGGCAGCGTGGTTGAGCTGTTGGGTCTACAAGGGAGGTGCAAGCGCGTGAGCAGAGGGTGTGAAGGCATGAGCAACAAGGCTGGTGAGGGCGTAACACATGGCGGCCTGGTCTTACGTGGTGGCGGTGGGTGCGGCGGCGGTGTGCAGCAGCGAGGGCAGCGGCTCGGTGTCCCAGTTCTTGGTGAAAAGCGTGCCGTTGCGCGCTGCCTCCGTTATCATCTGCCACGCACACAGGTGTGGCACACCATGGCGCACACGGGGGCATGGCATACACATGTGCAGATATGTCAGACACGTGGGCCAAAGGGGTCTTGGAAAGAAGAGGGTAGAGAATGGGGGGATGGAGGAGGAGGGGGGAGGAAGCCCATGAGAGTGAGAGAGAAGGCGGGAGAAGGAGAGGGAATAGAAGAGCGGATTCGGGGTCACGGGGAGTATATGAAGCATACAATGCAACATAACCCCAAGCCCCCGCATGCCATGACTGCGCTCAAGCCACATGCACGCACACACACGTGCTCTACATGCAGATCAGAGCTCAGGCTACTAGATGTCCCTAACGCACAAGAAGCTAGCACTGATGCCAGCAACTCAAATACCAGCACATATAAGAACATCACACAGCTACATCACAAACAGCGGCAACAGTGGCAGCAGCAGCAGCAGCAGCTCCCCGCCCAGAGCACCTGCTTCATGAGTCGCTGGCTGTCCTCCTTCTGCTGCGCTGTGCTGCACCGCGCCAACACCCGCTCCACATACGCAGCCAGCCCAGGGGGGAACTTGCCCGGCTGGGGGGGGACGGGAGGGGGTTGAGTGAGAGGAGGGAGAAAGGGTTGTGTGTGCGCGGAAGAGTGAGGGAAGGGAGAGGACGGGCGGAGGAGAGAAAGAGGACAGAAAGGCGGGTGTAGCCGGTTTGCATTGTTGAGCAAGGAAGAGAGCAGCGTTAAGTGGGAGGAAGAGGATGGGGTTGAGCTAATTTAAAGCTGGGAGGCAAGTGATGACAGGGATGGAAGAGCACACGCACAAACCCTCCCCTCCAATCGCTCACATACACTGAGACACATACACTCCCCTCCAATCACCCACCCACCCACCCACCCACCCACCCACCCACACCCACACACCCACCCACCCACCCACACACACCCACCCACCCACACACACCCACACACCCACACACCCACACACCCACACACCCACACACCCACACACCCACACACCCACACACCCACACACCCACACACCCACACACCCACACACCCACACACCCACACACCCACACACCCACACACCCACACACCCACACACCCACACACCCACACACCCACACACCCACACACCCACACACCCACACACCCACACACCCACACACCCACACACCCACACACCCACACACCCCCACACCCACACACCCACACACCCACCCACCCACACACCCACCCACCCACGCACCCACGCACGCACGCACACACATGCATAGGCGGCTGCCCCACACAGGCACCCGTCCCTGCACCTCGTACCTAGACATGAGCAAGATGCGATGCAATATTTAATCGCATCGCATTTTACTTTATCGCATTTTATCGCATGCGATAAAATATCGCATCGCACGATTAATTTTCCTGATTTTGGGATATCGCGTATCGCATTTTGGGTGCGATAATTATTAATATCGCAAATGTTAGTGCGATATATAGCGCGATGCGATAATATATCGCATCACACTTACTGCATGTGGAAAAAAACTAAGTATTTGACCAGGCGGAAAAGAAGAGTGCGGAAATTCGACATAACCCTGGCGAATTTCCGCGCTGCGATTAATTATATCGCATGCGATATAATAATATCGCACATCGCATTTTTATCGCACGACACATGGCGCGGTAAAAATGCGATGAAAAATATTGCGCGATATAATTTTCAGGGAAAAAATTATCGCAATCGCAAAAATGCGATATTTGCGATGCGATAATGCGATATGCGATGTGATGTGCTCATGTCTACTCGTACCCATGCACCAATGCACACATGCACCCATGCACCCATGCACCCATACCTGGATGGCAGCATCAGCAGCGTCGTCCACACTCGTGGCCTTCTTTCCCGCCCCCTCCTCCACTGACACATACGCCACTGGCCCTGCCCTCCCTCCACCCCTGTGCCTGGGTGACGCCAGCCCCGCCGCACCACGTTCACTGCTGCCCTCCCTGCCGCCCTGCCCGCCCGCTGCTGCTGCTGCTGCAGAGGTAGAGGAGGCGAAGCGGGGGTTGAAGGGGATGTGGAACTTGGACTGGAGAGCGCTGCTTGCCGCCTTCACCTGCTGCTGCTGCTGCTTCCTCTGAGCCTGCGGTCGTGGGGTTAGTGGGGGGTGAATGAGCGATGATTGATGAGACACAGGATGGGAAGATTGTAAGAAAGGGAATGACCTACCTGCTATTCTCCCCTAGACATGGCTGAAATGCCTGTCTAACCCATGATAAGGAGACAGTGCAGCACGACTCAGCAAAGGAGCAACGATACACTAGCAAGGGCATGCACAGCCGTGGCTGACGTCTCTCTTGCACTGTACCTACACCGTTGCAATGAGCACGTTACACATAACCCAAAGTCTACAGCACCAAAGAGATACAGTACCTGTGCATCGGTGTACTGCCACTTGAAATACGGCGCACTGGCATCCGCCCCTTGACCCGCCTTGCCATTCTGCCCCGCCACTGTTGCTCCCCCTGCCGCCCCAGCCATGGCATCTGCCTCACCGGCTCCTGCTGCAGTAGCAGGCGCAGTGGAAGCAGCAGCAGCAGAGGCGGCATATGCAGCTGCATAAGCAGCAGCAGCAGAGGGGTACTCCCCATATGGCTGAGCCTGCAAGTGACTCTGTGCGTGTGCGTCTGCCTGTGCTGCCTGTGCTGGATGCGCTGCCTGCGTGTGCTCTGCCGCGTGCACCTGTGGTTGGGGGTGCCACTGTCCGTTCCACCATATCCCAGCAGGGGCTACAGGTGCATATGCTGCTGCTGCCACGCCTGCTTGCTGCTGCTGCTCGCTGCCTGCCATTCCTTGCTGCGCTTGCCCCGCCCCACCATACCCCCATGCCGCTGCCCCATCTTGTGCTGCTGCGGGCTGCACAGGGGGTGGGGGAGGAGGGGGCAGCGGAGGCGGGGAAGCCGAAGGGGGCGGGGGAGGAGGTGGGGCGGGTTCCGCCCCGCCTGTTGGGGGAGGAGGCGGAAGGGCGGATCCGGGGGTGTAGTAATAGGGGGAGGGGAAGGATGTGGCTGTGGTGGTGTCGGAAGGGGGGGCAAGGGGTTCCGCCCCAGGGGGAGCAATGTCCTCCGCTTGGTCAGCAGCGGGGGTGGGAGCGGAAGGGGCTCCAGGAGGGGGCGTTGGGGCGGAAGGGGGAGCGGCAGAATAGGGCTGGGCCTGGGGGTAGGGGTATGCGGAGTAGTGCGCGTATGCTGCTGCGGCTGCCGCTGCTACTGCTGCTGGATCCTGGTGATGAGAGGGCAGCATGGGAAGGGGGATGGCATGGGACACGGGCATAACGACGTGTCAGGTTGGCTGTATGTGAGTGCACATGTGCACGAGAGAGGAGAGAGAGAGAGAGAGAGAGAGAGAGAGAGAGAGAGAGAGAGAGAGAGAGAGAGAGAGAGAGAGAGAGAGAGAGAGAGAGAGAGAGAGAGAGAGAGGAGAGAGAGAGAGAGAGAGAGAGAGAGAGAGAGAGAGAGAGAGAGAGAGAGAGAGAGAGAGAGGTAGTGTGTGTGTGTGAGAGAGAGAGAGAGAGAGAGAGAGAGAGAGAGAGAGAGAGAGAGAGAGAGAGAGAGAGAGAGAGTGAGGGAGAGAAGCGAGTGAAAGAGGGCTGGAGGGAGGAGTGGGGAGTAACCGAATGAAGCACACTTGAGGGTCGCAGTGCCCTGGCGACTTAGAGCCGGGGAACACCACCCACGTGCTCGCGTACCTGCGACGCTTGAGCCTCCTGCTCTTGCTGCTGCTGCTGCTGCTGCTGTTGCTGCTGCTGCTGCTGCTGATATGCATACGCATACCAAGCATCGTACGACGAGCCATGCCCATATGCCGTCGCCTGCTGCTGCTGCTGTTGCTGCTGCAGGCGCTGCTGCTCCGCGTATTCGAGCGCCATGTTCTGGTAGTAAGCCGCGTACGCCTCAGAGACCGGTGCCTGCGCCGGAGCCGGTGCTTGTGCCCCGTTCGCTGCTCCCCCGCTGCTGTCGCCTTGGCTGGCCATGGGGCGCCGCGACGCCGCGAGGTCAACTATGAGTGAGTGGCTGATGTGTGTAGGGCGACAGCGGAGGATGCTTCTGCTGTGCTGGGATGCTGTGTGAAGTGGCACCGTAATCAAGCTGCGGCGCTAGGTGCAGGTACTTTCCGTCTGGAATGGACAAGAGTAAGCTGCTGGGGGCTCAATTGGCATCGACGGATGCAGCAAAGGACGGCAGACGACGGCACGGGGCGGCAAAGGAACGGCAGTGGACGGCCAGGGAGCGAAGCACGGGCCGGAATCTCTCGCCGACGACGATACAGTATGGAAGAAAGGACAGAGCGCAACGGATGTGCATCAAATCCAGCAGGAAACCCTAAACCTCGATTCGACAGGCTGCGGTCGACCTGAACCTGAGAACCGCCGCGAGACCCAGCCGCTGATGCACCGTTGCTGACTTGCGGCGCAGAAAATTCCGCGCTGGCGGCTAGATGGAGTGCAGCAGGGAGCTAGCAGGCCGGAGCGGAAAGCTGGATCCTTGTCCGTGACGCCAGGCGAGATCGACGCGCACTAACGCTGACGCGCGAGGCTAATGGCCCGTGCAGGAGAGAGGAGAGACGAGGATACATACTAGTGTCGATGGCAGATGTTGGGTTGGAAGTCAAAGGGTGGAATGCGACGCATACGGGGGGGATTCGCTAAGGATGTTGCGACGACTTGCCGCCAGAGCGGTTCCAAGGGATTTACTGACGCGTGAAAGGGGATGCAGGTGGTGTAAGGGACGGAGCATGACGGCAATCCTCGAAGTTACTCCATAAATCTCGATACTTGTGCTCACACCGAATCATTGCAGGCTGTGCGTGGAAAGCTGACACGGCAATGAACTGCGCGAGATGCGCCTACCAACACCAGATTTTTAGGTGCTCAATGCTCGGAGCTGATGCTGGCAGCGGAGAATGCAGAGCGGACGAGTGGGATGACGACCCTACAGGCACATGGCCCTAGGTGGTAGCCGGCGACGGGTATTGGCGGGATATGCCCCTTGGCAACCCTCACCAGCCCGCACGCCTGGTCCTGGGGACAACCTTCTGTGTTCCGCTAAAAAGGGCTCCGAGCTCCCACCTGGAGGACCCTGAACACCTCAAAATTCACTTCAAGCACTGTGAAATCTCAGAGTATTAGGGCAGCAACATTTATCCACACTATTCTACTATCTACTAGGAATGTCCAAGTTGAAGCAATAAAAAAGTATGGCTGTAGGATCATCTGGATTGAATGATGAGCGTGCGCTTTGCAGAAGCGTTACTTGGTCGAGAACTTTGTCAGAGTGAATTTAACTTAACAGAATTGATTATAACAAGGAGGTTCAGGGTTCACATTCTTAGAAACTTAGGAGTCTAGGTTCCTAAAGTTAGGACACTAGCTTAGCTAGGAATGACGCCATAGAATGGTGGGAGGAAAGTAGATCTAGGAGCGTAAGTAGTGAGGAGAAAAGTCGAGAAGAAAAGTTGATTGAAAAGAAGACAGAGGCATACAAGAAGGGGTGTTGTACCCTCTACAGCAGTATTCAGTACTAGTATACCAAGCCTATAAATTGTAACTTAAATAATTTTAACACATATAGTGATACAAGAGAATGCGAAGGGTGTAACTATGATGCACTTAGTAGGGGTACATTCCTTGTTTCAGATCTGACTCTGGTAACTGCACACGACTCGGGTAACTGCCTGTGCTGTAATACATGGTCAGTTATGTGTCCTTGCTGTCGTGCCCGACCCTTGGTCTTCTGCCCATTCGGTCGTCGGTTAACGGTCAACGACCATTGCACTTCGTGATTCTGTACGGACGCGTACTCGATAAGTGTTACTGCTCGAGTGTTACTTTCAGGAACGTAAGAAGTAGTACCGTATCGTAACACTCCCCTTCATTTTTGAAGGTACTTGAGCTTCGCGCGCTTAGAAATTCCGCAGAGCTCGGCACAATGCTGGTACTGTTTTCGTGGCAGATTCTTGGTGAGGAAGTCACCTTGCCTTTGTTGATTTCATCTTTGATGAAGGAGTATCGCAGGGCGATGTGTTTCGTGCGATTCACGAACCTGGGCCTGTTGGCGATTTTGATCGCACTCTAGTTGCCGAGTTTCGCTTATTGCACGAGTTCTTGAAACTAGAGGCCTTCGCAAAGAGTGGAGGTAGCAGCGATGTGCTCTGCTTCGGCTGAGGAGAGTGCGGCAAGTTCTTGCTTCTGAGAGTTCCAGAAGATGGGTCCGGTTGGTTCCAGTCGAAAGAGAAATCCAGTGCGCGTGTGGCGATAAGCGGGATCTGCGGCGTGATCGGCGTCGACGTAGTGTGTGAGTTGGAATGTGGGTCTGGCGATGGTAGAGGTAGGTTAGGCCGATGTGTGGACTTGAGATAAAGTATAGGAGTGCTCCCTTAAGGTCAAAGAGGTTTTCCCTTTCAGGTCGCCGAGACTATTGAGTGAGCTGGCTATTAATGTAGGAGAGGTCGGGGCGGCAGGTAACTACTGCGAATAGGAGGCAGCCGAGTTGCTGCTGGCAAAGTTGGTGGGCAGCTGGAGCGAGCGTCTTGGTGTCGGGCTTGTAACTGACAGCAGGCGTCCGGTAGGGTGTGGAAAGCGGTGACGTCGTGCGGTCTAAATTTCTTAACTAGGGTCTCAGTATACTTGGACGTAGAGAGGCGGACGGCTTCGGGAGTGTAGGAGATGTTGAGTTCGAGGAACTAAGTCATGGCCTTCGAGGTAGTGATGTCGATGTGTTCACCTAGGTTTCGCTCAAAGTGGTCGAGCAGGCCTGTGTTGGTGCCAGTGTAAAGTAGGTCGTCAACGTAGACTGTGACGAGTCTCCGCGGAAGTGGAGGCGATACATCCCTGGGTCATGCGGTAGCTGGATGGAGTCGATGGCGAGCAAGATTCTGTGAAGGTGCTGCTGCCATAGGCCTAGTAAGTGTTTGATTTCATAGAGGGACTTTTGTAGTTGGTACACACGTGAGTCGTGGTTGCCGTAGATGCGCGGGTGTTCGACGAAGATTAGGGTGTCAACTTTTGCGCAAAGGAACACATGCTTGACGTTGATCTATCAGAGCTCTAGGTGCTTGCATGCAGCGACGACGAGTAGTATGTGAACGGAGGTGTGTCGGCTGACCCGAAGTCAACGCCGTAGCGTTGGTCATATCCACGTTCGACTCAGCAGGCTTTGTAGCGTTCGATGTTACCGTTGGCATTCGCCTTGAGTTCTCCAGGTCCAGTATTGTCCAGACTTTGTACTCGTAGGAGATCCGCAGGTGTAATTCCCAGCGTGCTCGCCTCTCGAACTTCCCTGTGGTGGCTTGGTGAGGTCGGTACTGGACCATGCAGCCTCAGGCGCATAGAATGGTGGTGTCGCCTTTCTCTCTGTCCATGCCAGGTGCGGAGAGAGATTGTGGGCGTGGACAGGACAGAGATTATTGATGGTGGTGGACAGGAGGTTATGGAGGATTGCGTCCGTACTGCGTAATGCATCGCGTCCGTACCGCGTGATGCATTGCGTAAGGCCAAGCAGTTTGGACTGCAGCGTCATCGTTCGAACTTTGGTGTGGAGTGTACGGTTGGTCCGTTCAATGATGCCTCGCTGAGGGTGTGCGTAGGGCAGGGAGAGTCGGTACTCGATCCCGAGTTCCTATAGATGAGTTTGCAGTTCTTCGCTCATGAATTCTCTGGCCCCGTTTGTCTGCCAGTATTTCATGGACCTTCATGATTGGCGTTCAGCTATAGCAGGTCTAGATGTTGAGTGCCCAAATGTAGCGGGTGGCGGCATCGATGAAGGTCAATGTACACAGCTCCCCACATGATCCGGTTTGTGTCAGAATGAGGTAGTCGCTGTAGACTTCCTCCATATTTGCATAGCGGGCTGGGCAACGTGGCAGGTCCAGAAAAGCAGGTGTGTGTAAGAGCAGCTGCGGGGCAGTCTGCGCAGGTGCATGGTGCCTGGCTTACTTGGATCTCCCTTCTGTTGGAGTCAATGAGTGCTCCTTGGGTGAAGATATAGGCAGTTAGTGGGTTGTTGAGAGTGGCTCAAGAGGAGTGACCGATTCACTGGTGTTATATGTCTCGGGGAGCACGGTGCCCGTATGAACGTTGGTATAGCTCATGAGAGGCTTCCGCCGATGGGGCTGGGTGGCCCGTCTGAATGAGCGGGAAAGGTGACAGCTAGAGCGAGAAACTCTCAATAGATTAGATCCATAGGGATAGACCTTGCCCTTGGGTAATCTGCTTTTGTTTCTGTTGAAGAATGAGGGCCTTGAGTGGGGGAAGATCTGTAATTTGGACCCATAGGAATTGGACTTGTGCAAAAGCTTGAGCCAAGTTCGTTGGTGTCCGCTTCTTCAGGATCAGTCGTGGGTCGTGGAAGGTGCGGCGGAGGTGGATTGTCGACGTCTGTGAGTTGTGGAGTTTTGTCCTCGGTGGAGGGTCTGATAGGTGTGGAGCTGAGTAGGTAAGGTTTGTGTGGTTCAAGAGGGGGTGAGACGTAGCGGTAGCGTTTCCGGTTGTGTGAGTCCTCATCGAAGGGAGTCTGGTTGTATTCGGCCCATGTCCCTGGTGCTTGAGGAGGGAGACCAAGAGGAACAAAGGCACCTACAGTAGTGTGCTTTTCCCCAAGTCATCTTCGTCGTCTTGGTCATCTCCACTGTCATCCCAGGCGTCTTGGTTTGGGACCCAAGGTGTTCTGTTGTCGTGGACCCCACATCAGATTTGTAGCTCTGTCCTCTGGAGTTGTGCTCCGTCTGACCGAGATGGGAGTAGTCCATGCCGAGATATGGCTGGTGACTGGGGTGCCAATCTCGACCCTTGGTTCGGTGGGTTTGGCTAGTATCATTGGGGTGGTGTCTGTGGTTAGTGTTGCCCCTGTTGCTGCTGCCCTTGCTGCTGCTGCTGCTGCCCTTGCTGCTGTTGCTACCTCTGCTACCTCTGCTGCTGCTGCCTCTGCTACTGCTCGTGCAGAAACTACCTTCTGGGGTGCTGATGTTGCGATCATGGTTGCTGTTGCTGCCTCTGCTACTTCTGGCGTCGCTGGGCTGGTCCTTGCAGTGACTTCTGCTAGGGAGGGTGCCCAGGTGTCCATGTCCAATCATGTTTTGTGGCTTGTTCCACCTTTTCTTGTGGCGTGAGTTCCCTCCGGTTGGGATGAAAGACCATGCACGTGGGTAGTTCCCACGGACTTTCTCTTCCTGTGTCATCAATTGTTCCAGGACCAGTGTAAGAGAGGTTGGTGTTTAGGCGCCGTCTGGCGATATAGGGTTGGCGTTCTGTCCCTTGGGGAGGGACAATAGTAACTGTTGCAGCAAGTTCAGAGAAGGTCATTCTGGCTTCAGGGGCGTGGGTGTCAGTGGTGTCTACGTCGTCGAGAGTATCGAGCTCGGTACCAGTGGTGTTACAATTGGAAGAAGTGGGCGTCTGGCAGGTACAGCGGATTCTGTCTAGGTTGGGGTTGTGGAGATCTGTCTCTGCTGGGTGCATGTGGTGTGTGACCCATGAGTGGCCGTTAGGGTGTGTCCAGTCTTTCTCATCTGTCCAAATTAAGCTTAGTGGGACAAGGTCGATCAGCTCGTGGCTGTCTCCACTGCAGTCAGGTATGTTGAAGTCCAGGATGTTGACCAATTCATGTGAATGAGCACGTGCAATTAGTTGCAGTGGGTTTTTGGATTGATTGGGTAGGTTGGGCCGCCTGTAGTGTAGGAGAATATTTCAGATACGGGTTAGCTTTGCAGCTCAACTCCACATGACGGTCGTTGGGAGGTTGACAGTAGGTTGTAGTGCAGGCTCTTAACTTTGAGCTTGTCGTTCAAAGCCCACAATCCATGGACACAATCCCTAGAGATATGGGCTTGGAGATGTGATATGGGTCCTAGAGATGTGGGCTTGGAGGACCACAATCCCTTGACACTTGGCCTCCAAGC